ATAGACAGAAGCAATCTTTGCCAAGAAAGGGAAGTTAGAGAAGGGGAGGAGAAAGGAAGAAAAGCTTAGCCAAAGTAAATAGAAGCCATTAGGGTTTCTTGAAGATTGGTGATTTCCGGCAGCTATAAATTGAGCCTTCCCCTACCCAACAAAAACAACTCACAACCTGCAGAGAGCAAGCTTTTCTCTCTATCTTGCAAAACTCAGACTCGTGCACTGTTCATCTTCTTCTCCAATTTGTTTTTCTGGCAGCTGCCAGAAGAACTCTGCCTTTCTTTTTCCTTTTTCCCTAGTCGAATTCCTCACAAAACACCTCATTCCTTACTTAAACACTTTCTTTTCTCATAAACCAAGCCTAATTTCTCTCTTAGTGCTAAACCCATGTTGATTTTGCTCCCATGCCACATGCCACTCATGCTGAGCTGAAAAGACTATCTGTAAGCATGCCAAAACTATCTGCAAGTTACCATTATTCTCGTTGGTGAAGATAACCAAAATACTTCCTAAGGCTCTACTGCCTTTTCGAGGTATTTTGGGGCTTAATTTTCGAACTTAGGCTCAAGGGGCAATTTCTTCCATTTTGCCCTTTACGGCAGTCAGGCCCGTAGTAGCTGCCGGAAGAAAAAAGCCCCTACAGGAAGCCTTCAACACCTAGCTACAGTTCTGTTCCTACCGATCGTACTATTAGGGCAACTCCACCCCCAGGGGCACGTGGCAGTCCCACAATTGGAGTCCACAGTCCCACATCGAAATTCTAAACAACTTGTACACCTCCCAAGGTCTATAAAAGAGGACAACTATCCCAACTTGGAGGTGATCAACTAGAACTTACGGCATACTGCCTATTGATCTGTAATTCAATCTTACTAAATCCGTACTTACTTAAGCATCGAAGAGCTTTCGGCCGGTACCACACCGGTGCCCCAGGTCTTACCGAGCATTTGTTATCTTGCAGATCGAACGCCCTAAGGAGGCCCAGTGCATACCGAAGGCCCAACATCACTAAGTTGCGCGGGAAAGTGCCGAACCATTTTCCTACGTCAACAGTTTGGCGCCGTTTATGGGAATCGAAAAGAATCGACCTACAATTCCTAAAAAACACATGGGAACCACTTCAGTACCAACGTTCTTATCGGAGGATGGACTACCGTATGGCATGCCAAGCAGCGTAAGCCCCGCGCTGCACCCTAGCACTCCCTTCGGTAATCCTCCTGTGATGCAGACTACGGTCGAAACGAAGCTTCTGGCCCAAATGACTTCCCTTCGGAAGGAAATGGCCAAGCTCCAAGAACATAACAACCTCCTCTCGTCCAAAGTAGACGAAACTCAGCGGCTGCTTCATCAGCAGGCAAAGCAAAAAATTCAGGCTCCGGAACCTTCCCAGAGTCTGCAGACCCCCGGTCGGCAGAAGAAAAGGAAGAATGGGGCAAAGGCAACGCTTGCGCCTTCCAAACAGCTGGTAGTCCCAGATCCACGGGACCAACCTCAAGTACCGAAGAGGGTCTATACCGACTGTCGCCATCGGATCAACGACAAAGATGCCGAACGGCAGAGGTCCCCAATCAGGATCAATGCTCGCCAGCATGACCCACGGATGAGGGTCCTTGGGAGCAAATCACCCCTTAGAAAGCTCTGAGGGTTGGTGTCGAAGGTAGAATCTGACGATGAGTATGCCCCCTCCAAGGGCACCGAATCAAACTACCGTTCGGAAACTCCCACGGAGTATTCGAAGGCAAGACCACCAAGTCTGAGGAGAACTTCCAAAGACTACAGTTCCGAGGAGGTCCCAAGCCGAGACCCCGTTATCCGTTTGCTCTTCCAGAGAATTCAGAAGATGGAAGACGACCGAACCTAGTCCCAGGAACTTGACTGGGGAAAACTTCGACCGGGACCCTTTATAGAGCGTATCAAGAATTCCAGACCAGACAGGGAGGTACAGCCGTTGCGCATACCGTTTTACACCAGCGTGGAAGACCCTTTAACGCACCTTCACCAGCAGTTGAATGCAAGGGCCTCAGCGATGAGGGGCAATGCCTGTTGTTCTCATCCTCCCTTACTAGAGCCGCTTTGAACTGGTTCTACCGTCTTGAACCAGGAACAGTAGGCTCGTTTGACGAACTGAAGCCAATTTTTCTCAATCACTTCATGATCCAGACTGACCGTCTATACTCTGCCCAGGATCTGTACACGGTTCGGCAGAGAGAAGACGAACCCCTACGAGAATACGCTGCGCACTTCAGTCATGAACACTCGAGGTGTCTGGAAAAGGATGATAGGGCAGCCTACACACCTTCAAGAGTGGCCTTCGGTCCTTTCACTTTCGATATCTCATGCACAGTAGCAACTGGCGCACATATGACGAACTAATAAAGCAGGCGGCAGTCCACACCAAGGCTGAATATTTCAACTCTAAACCCGGGCCCTCGGCTCGGCAGGAGGAATCAGCACCAAATAGCTATCCTGGGGGGAATGACGACTCTTCGGCAGGTCACAAGCGAAAGGACGACCGTAATAATCGGCAATGAAGCTCAAAGAAGGGGCGTGGGAAATACAATAGCAACGACCACCGAGTGCCATTATCGAATCACGACCGCGCTCAGGAAGTCTTCACTCTGTTGAATACTACATATGAGGCCGTCCTGATGAACGAGCACGGCCAAATCCCGAAACCCGACCGAAAGCCACATCGGCAGGACAATCGGGATACCGGCAAATTCTGCCGATATCACTAGCAGAACAACCACAACACGCAAGATTGCATTGGTCTGAGGAAGGTCGTTGAACGCCTGATTAGGGAGGGAAAGCTGGATCAATACATTGCCAGACCACTGCAGGCACCAGCCCCAAACGCGAATCGACAGATCAACATGATCAGCACCATCAGCGGAGGCCCCACTCTGGCGGGACCCTCTAACCAATCGATGAAGCAATGTGTGCATGCCGCTCACCATCCTCAGGTCTTCAGCATAGAAACTGATCGGCACCGCAAGGTCCCGAAGGTGGGTTGGGAGCCCATCACATTTTATGAAGAAGAGGAAGAATGGGTCATTTACCCCCACGATAACCCGATGATCATTCAGGCTGAAGTCACCGATTACGATGTAGGTCTGGTACTGATCGATACTGGAAGTTCGGTAAATGTGATTTTTACTGATGCCTTCAGTCGGCAGTATCAGTCTGCCCATCGCCTTCGGTGTTGCCCCCAGAATAACGATGACCTACGACCAATTTCTCATCGTCGACTGCCCAACGGCATACAACGTCATCGTAAGACAGACAACACTCACCATAGTCAAAGCCTACTTATCCCCCCACATGTTGCTGATGAAATTCCCTACCCGCAATGGTACCGGCGTTATCCGAGGAGACCACCTCAGCGCACGGACATGCTATGCGACCGCTCTGAAATCGGTAGCTTGCAAGCCTCCAATGGAAGCCATGTCTGTGCAGGGACTACCGAACGGTAGCGGGCCTATAGACGACCCAAGAGAGGAAACACCAACACCAGTAACGCAGCCTGTCTTAGAACTCGAAAAGGTAATCCTGAATGAGGAATATCCCGATCGATGTGTAAAGATCAGCACCACCCTAGGTCCCGACCTACGAACGCAGTTCATTGACTTCTTGCGGCATCACGCGGAGGTCTTCGCCTGGTCTTACGATGATATGCCCGGCATATCACCTGACATCATCAGCCACAAGCTCAGCATCTCCCCCGTCTATAAACCAGTCAGACAGAAGCGTCGTTCATATGATGTCGAATGGTATGAGGCTATGTGTACCGAAGTTGACAAGTTTAAAGCCATCGGCTTTATCAAGGAGGCTACGTACCCTGTCTGGCTTGCCAACTCAGTCATGGTTCGGAAGGCCAATGGGGGAAGGCGAATGTGTCAAGACTATACCAACCTGAATAAGGCCTGTCCGAATGACAGCTTCCCATTGTCGAGGATCGACCAGCTCGTTGACGCAACCGCTGGACACGAGCTGCTCAGCTTCATGGACGCCTATTCAGGGTACAACCAAATTTTCGTGGACCCTGCCTATAGCGAGCATAAGACATTCATCACCGACCGTGGTTTGTACTATTACAATGTCACGCCTTTCGGCTTGAAGAATGTGGGGGCAACGTATCAACGGCTCGTCAATCGGATTTTTGCTAAACACATCGGCGGCATTATTGAGATGTATGTCGACGACATGTTGGTAAAAAGCCGAACGGCATGGGGCATCTGGAAAACTTAGCCCTCATGTTCGGTATACTCAAGGACTACCGAATGAGGTTGAACCCAACGAAATGCGCATTCGGTGTATCTTCGGAGAAATTTCTCAGATTCATGATCAGTCAGAAAGGAATCGAAGCCAATCCCGAGAAAATCAAACCCATAATCAACATGAAGACGCTAAAAACGCAGAAAGACATTCAATGCCTTACCGGATGTGTTGCTGCCTTAGCGCGCTTCATCTCCAAAGCCACCGATAAATGTGTACCGTTCTTCAAAGCCTTGAAAGGGGGCAAGCATCATATCGCGTGGACTCCCGAATGCAACCAAGCATTTCAAGACTTGAAGAACTACATGAGCAAGGCACCATTATTGTCAAAACCGCTTCCCGGAGAAGTTCTCCTCATCTACCTTTTGGTATCCATCATTGCCGTTAGCTCGGTATTGATACGGAAGCCAGAGAAGGCAGAGCTACCAATCGTTTATGTCAGCAAGGCGCTTCAGAGTGCGGAGCTTCGGTACCCACCCTTGGAACAGCTAGGACTAGCCCTTGTTGTCTCAGCTCGAAGGCTCCGCCCATACTTCCAAGCGCACGAGATCACGGTTCTGACCAATCAGCCCCTTCGGCAGGTACTTCAAAAACCAGAAACGTCTGGTCGATTGGTCAAATGGGCGATCGAGCTGGGAGAATTTGACATACAGTTCAAGCCAAGGCCTACAGAGAAGGGTCAGGCCGTCGTCGACTTCATCTCCGAGCTCACACCTTCTGCACCATCGGAAACATCTTTTCCGAACGCTGTTATTACGGAACCAGGAAAAATGGATGCCGAGTGCTTTGATCCTTCTGTCCCTCTATGGATCCTGCATGTTGACGGCTTAGCAAATCAACAAGGCTGTGGAGCTGGCTTGGTGTTAACTACTCCAGATAGAAGCAAAGTCGAGTATGCCCTCCAATTCAACTTCAGAACTTCTAACAACAAGGCAGAGTATGAGGCTCTCTAGGCCGACCTTCGGCTAGCCAAGAGCATGAGCGCAAAACAAATCAGCATTCACAGTGACTCCCAGCTCATAGTAAAGCAAATAACGGCAGACTTCGCAGCGAATGATGCCTCCATGTTCGCCTACCTATCGGCAGCCCACCAACTCCTACAAAAGTTCAGGCCTATGAGATTCGGCAGATCCCCAGGTCAAAAAACAGTCACGTCGATGCACTCTCGTGTTTAGCTTCGGTAATAAACGATAGGATCGGAAGGACGGTGCCGGTGGAGATATTATCCCAGCCAAGCACGACCACTGCTGAAGTATGTACCATACGGTACGAGGACACATGGATGTCTCCAATTTATACTTTCCTAACGAATGGAACCCTGCCCACCGATAAGTCCTAGGCTCGGAAGCTACGATATCGATCGGTAAGATACACAGTCATCGACGATGTTCTGTACAAGCAAGGCTACACCACGTCGTATCTAAAATGCCTCACCAAATAGCAGGGGGACTATGTTCTTCGGGAAGTCCACAGCGGGGTCTGCGGTGACCATTCAGGGTCCCGATCGCTGGCACACAAAGTCTTCCGACAGGGGTATTTCTGGCTGACCTTACACCAAGATGCAAACGTGTTAGTCAAGAAGTGCAACAAATGCCAACGGTTCGGTAGTGTCCCTCACATCCCTGCCGAGCCTCTCTCACCGATCGTAAGCTCAAGGCATTTTGCCCAGTGGGGACTAGACTTGATCGGCCCGATTCCGCAAGGCAAGGGCCAGGTCAAATATGTTGTTGTTGCCGTAAACTACTTCACCAAGTAGGTAGAAGCTGAAGCCTTAGCAATGATAACGGCAGCCAGAATGGAAGACTTCATCTGGACGAACATTTGCTGCCGATTCGGAATCCCTACGCCATCATCACCGATAACGGCAGGCAATTCAATTCGGAAGCCTTTAGGCAGTTCTGCACTCGCCTCAAGATCAATTTGTTCTTCGCTTCGCCAACTCACACCCAATCAAACGGCCAAGTCGAGGCAATGAACAAAATAGTCAAGAAGCTATTGAAACGGCAGCTTGACAAGGCCAAAGGAGCCTGGTCGGAGAAACTTCCAGAAGCATTATGAGCCATTTGGACATCCTATCGAACGGCAACCGGGGAAACACCGTTCTCCATAGCCTTTGGCTCGGAAGCCGTAGTCCTAGTGGAAATCGGAGAACCTTCCTACCAAACAGAAACTTTCGCCCCAAAGGCGAATGACGAGGCATTCGCCTTAAGCCTCGACCTGGTCAAAGAACGCCGAGCGCAATCCAACCTTCAGAATGAAGCTTACAAACAGCACGTCTCTCGGTACTACGACTCCAGGGTCAGATCCCGCTTCTTCTGAGTCGGAGATTGGGTCATGCGAAAAGTTTCTCTAGCAACTAAGAATTCCACAGAAGGAACTCTCGGACCTTCCTGGGAAGGACCTTACGAGATCATTGGCATCCAGCGATCGGGGACTTATCGGCTCAGAAACTCGAACGGAAAGACCCTCGGTCATCCTTGGAACGTAGAGCATTTGAAATATTATTTCAAATGAAGTCACCTGGCCTACGGCAGGATGAAAATGTAGTTCAGAAAGCCTTCGGCTTATTCTTACTCACAGCCATCGGCTGTATCGAGTTCTCTAGCCTACGGTAGGTTTTCAATTGTAAAACGAACTCCATATGTATGTTTGCCTTCGGCAATCATTAATGAAAATGCATTTGGCCTATATATTCACAACCTTCGGTGTGTTAATTTAAAAGATGCGGTAGAGACCATCGGTCGCAGTATACTACATTTTTAAACCCTTTTATTAGCCTTTAGCAATTAAGTCACCACGGCATTCTTTCCTACCGATCAAAAGTTAACTTGTCTTTTACTAACCCTGTTAACGATTGGAAGATCACCTTATTTAGCCCTCGGCACTTTAAAGGTTCACTTCATAGTTATTCCGTTACTAACCTTCGGCAGTTAAATCAATCATTTAGCTTTCGGCAATTACGCTGATTAGTTTTTAACTTCCTACCGATTCAGGTTGCGCTTGGAAGTTAGCTTGTTATTGGCCTACGACTGATAAAATTTTATCTAGGCTTCGGCATTTAAAAAGTCCCTAAGACAAGTTAAAGCAGAAACATGCCGAAAGTGAAACTGCTTCAATTAAAACTACTTGAATTAAAAGATGCCCTCGACATCAAGGTGTTCACAAAACATTGCCTGATGGCAGTTATATGAAATAAAACTTAAACAAGGCTCAAGCGGCAGTCTCCTCCTTGGCTCCAGGGGTAGCGGGCTCTTCCGGAGCGTCCTCCCCTTCGTAATCTTCTATTATCTCTTAGAGCTCAACCAGTTTTAGTTGAAATGAGAAAAAGCTTTTAGAGAATAGCTCATTGCAGAGCGCACAAAACTTTATGTCAAGCAGCAGCCTCCTCGGCATCGGCAACGGGCTCTTCCAGAGCGTCATCCCCTTCGTAGTCTTCTATCATCCCTTCCATGATTCCTTCGGGAAAGGGAGGAGGATTGGCAATGAAATTCAAGTTCAGCTTCTGCCCAGGGTTGTACCGCTTGAAACAGTAGACCAGGTCCACCATTTCCGAGCCCACCTCCTTGTCCAGCAAGGTAGAGAACTCGGAAGAGTGACGGTACCTCCAGATTGCCTCTTGGACTGTAGCCTCGATCTCTGAAGCCTTGGCCCGCTCCGACTTCTTAAAAGCCACCTGGACCTCCTCCTTCGCCTCCAGAGCCTCCTTTGCCGTTAGTTGCGCCGACTCCAGGGTTGCCGACAGCTCAGCGAACTTGGCTTCATAAACCTTGACCTGCCGTTCGGCAGCCTGCATGTCCTTTGCCAAATTCGCATAAGCTTGGATAGCCTTGCCAGCCTCGGCAACCCTGGCCATACCGTCTTCATAAGCCTTCTTTGCCTTTTCGACGGCATTGATGGCTCGCTTGATGCACAACCACATGTCCATTGAAGCCTAGGAAACAAAGGAAAATATTAGACAAGGCCGTAAGCAAACGGTAAAATAAACTGAGAATGGTTAGCGCTTACGGAAGCTTGAAAACGAAAGGTACGGCCAGCCTCCTCCTGAATGAGCTTCTTCGGCAGGTCCTCAATCTCGGACAGCTCCATTTGCGAACCGAGGATCATGTGGTTCACAAATTAGACCGTCTTTGATGGATAAGCCAAAGTGACGGGTTCGGCAGACGCCTCATCGTCTTCAGCAGCGAAGATGGCCCGAGCAGGCTCAGTCTGCCGCCCGCGCTTTGGGGCAGGATCGGCATCCAGATCAACGATGATTGGACGCTTGCCGTCTGCTTTGGAGGAGGTGCCCTCGGCAAGCACACCTCAACTAGGAGACGAACTGACCACTGTCGCTCCGGCCTACGTCGAGCCAGCGTTGAGCTAACGGAGACGGTCGGCGATGGTCTGGTCTTCGGGGTCGACTCCTCCTGAGGATGCCGATACCGCTTTCGGCTGCCGGCTCTTCTTTTTCTTCCCCTGGAGCCCAAGCATGAGGCGCCGCTTAGAGGACTCGTTCATCCTCTTCGCCTCGGCAGCCCTCCTCTCTTCTGTCACTACAAAATCATGATCGGTAAGAATTCTCATTGTGGTAAATAAGTTGTCATAATGGACAAGTACACTTACTCTAGGCAGGGTTGATAAGTTGAGCCTTGATGAGATTGGCGGTGAAGAGGAACTTCGGGTCCACTCTCTCCACTGCATGGACCTTCAGCCTTACCTTATCGATCTGCCGGATCTCTGCTTGGGTGGCGCTCGGCTGCTTCAACTTGCTTGCACAAAAAGAAAAACGAAATTAAAACTCCAAAGAGACGCCTACACACTAGAGGACCTACCGAACGGTACGATGGCCTATCGATTATTTGGAAGGTGGTGGGAATATGGAAACAGACGGGATGTCCCGATGGCGATTCCCAATCACCGGACAAAAGCACCTGTCGTTTTCTCCACGTCTTCTAGGATGTTGGCACGGCACTAATAAAATGGCCGCGCTCGGT